TTAGCTTTGACGATATCAATGCACATTATGAATTGCATTCCATCTTAGTCTGTCTCAAGGATACCGTTGAGATGTGTTTTTGACTAAATCTTAGTTTGAATCACATGCACATATGGGGTAGTCTTACACATGTGCGCTTGATATGGACAAGTAAGTTAGAAACAGATCATACGCATGATAGATTTGATAGCTACTCTAAAAAGTATTAGGATGGATTATTTTATGATCTCAATGATAAAAGTTAATTGTATACACTCGCTGTTTATCTATAGGAGGATCATATTATGAATCATATACCTAGTAGCATAATGTTAGAGAATATGGTATGAGTACCAGATATACCACATATGAACACACTTATTATGATAGAGATTGAGAATAATATATGAATTCCTATTGATGCGTTAGCATCATTTAGTACACAGATTCCTGCATCGGTACATTGATGTAGTGGGAGGATTATCATCCAATCCGACAGAATCATGTTTTTAAGTGAGACCGTTATGGACATCCCTGTTAAACATGAGTTGGACCTAGTAAGCTACACGGAAGCGTGAACCGATATGGATACAGATCGTTTTGGCGAGTTACTATGAAATCAGAGTTGGAATCTATGGATTCTAATAAATTCTGGGATCTTGTAGAACTTTCTAGTAGGGTGATTCCTATGGAAGGCAAGTTAATCTACAAAAAGATACCAGAAGATTTCTTAGTGAATAAATCATGAGTGTACAAGGGAATATCATTATTTTTCTGATTCTATATATATATTGATGACATCCTACTCATATAGAATGATGTGGAAGGTTTATCATCAATAAAGAGGTAGTTGTTCAATTACTTTTAAATGAAGGATTTTTCAAGATGTAAGCTATATTCTTAGGATCAAGCTTTTGCAAGATCAGGTTAAAAGGAAAATAGGCTTATCTTAATAATCCTACATTGATAAAGTTTTGACCAGGTTTGGTATGTATAACTCAAAGAATGAATTTTTGCTTTGTTAACATGAATTGCTCTCTCCAGTAGGTAGTTTTACAAGACTGACAGAAGAGATTGAGCAAATGAGACTGGAATTATATGCTTTGGCATATAGGAGTCTCATATATGCTATGGTATATACCAAACAGGACATCCGCTACATAGTAGGGATAGTCAGTAGATATCAATCCAATCCTGGACTTGATAACTGGTCTATTGTGAAAAATATTATTAAGTACCTAAGGAGAACCAATGATATCATACTCATTTATGGATGTGATGATATGGTCCTAGTCAGGTATGCTAGTTCTGATTTTCAATCAGAAGTAGATACTATGAGGTTCATGACTTAGTGTATGTTCACTCAATGGAAGGGAAATCGGTTAGTAGATTGTTAAGCAGATTTCAACTGCTGACTTAAACCTGCAGGTGGAGTACATTGCAGCCTTAAAGGCGGCAAAGGAAGCCTTTGGGTTTGATCTTACTGATTTAGGGGTTGTGAAGCATACTAGCCTGCCTATCGAGTTATATTGCGATAATAGTGCAGAAGTAGTCCAAACAAATGACCCAAGGTTCCATAGAGGAACAAGGTACACTGAGAGGAAAGTATCATGTCCTACATGATATTGTCCGACAAGAAAATATGCTCATGGCTAGATCATTGCATTGGAACACAACTTTGTTGATCCATTAACAAAGGTGTTATCGATCAATAGTTTTGATCATCACCTGGATAACATTGGAGTTAGATGCAATTTGAATTAGCTATGACGACAAGTGGGAGCTGTTGGGATTTATATGCCCTGGCATAGCAAATTACTATCTGGATTATAGTGACATATGTTCCTACCGTTTCTGAAATATTTATGCTTTATACAATTGGTGAATTCAATGTATTATGTTTCGATTCATTATAGAATTGATAGTGTCCATTTGATTACAAGAGATATTTATATATATGTATGTGATGGCGATCAATGCATGGTATATAAATAGTAATCATAAATTGTTCATAGTCGGTAATTATGGATGGACTCATAATTAATTAAGACTTGAACTAGATCCGCGTTAAGTTGAGATATATTGCGAGAGCCGTCGTATGCAATTGCTCCCTATCACCGTCATGGCATTTGACTCTTAAGTATGAAAAAAGTACAGACTCTTGTATTAATTAATAATTACTTTGATTTGTTCGGCGGATTCTTCGGGATTCTTAGACCGACACTTTGGGTAGTTATGTAATTAATAGTTAGAGGGTTATATTTTCAATATTTGCATCATTGCTACTTGTATTTATTTTATATTGATTATGGTTGATCACAAAGTAAATTCGAAGGCCTTCGTGTGTTTTTAGACAAAATGATTTATTATATATTTATTTATTTAAATTATTATTTTTGTCAAACAAATGTTTTATAGTGATCGAGCCAGAAATAATCAAAGATATCAAAATAAATATATTAATTAAGTAGTCGGATTGATGGCTTTATTTATCCGATAACTAATTATGCATAGAGGGGTTAAAGTGCGATATTGACTTAGAGGTTATTTATTATTTAATTGGAGTTCAATTAATTTCTTTTAGTGGAATAGAAATTAATTTATGAATTAATTGAATTGGGTCCATGGACCGGGCCAATTATTAATTCATTATAGCCAATAAAATAATATGCCCAATGCATTCTCACTCATAGCCCAACTTGATATTGGAATCATATTAGATTTGAGACATGTAAATTAGAGACTGAGAAGGATTTGTTGTTTCCTTTTCTTTATCTTTTTGTTGCCTATAAATATACATGGTCTATGTATATTTTTGGGTGTGATTTTTGGAAAGAAGTAAAAAGGAATAAATTTTCTCTCTCTAGAAAATTAGGGTTAGTGTTCTCATCTAATGGAGGCTCCCACAAGCCTAGTTTTTCAAGATCATTCATGGAGTCTTATGAGTGATTCTTAAAGGCAATAACATTACCAAGAAGATGGAGATACATGGAAAAGGTGTCTAGCAAAAGGGATCTACAATAAGTGAGAACATTCACTTTAGAGGAGAGATCTAAGGTTTACTCAAACCTTGATGTAAGTATTCAATCTTTTAATTGAATGATACATCATGTTTTATTTTTACATAAAACTTGTCTCTATGTGATGAATCAAGATCTATGAATTAAAATCCCTCGAAAAGTTTTTAAAATTAGCACGTTTCCCAACAACTTAGTGGCTAAGTAAATAGATATCAATTAATTATTCTTGATCAACTTATAATTACCTTTTTGGTAATTACTTATTGGAGAAGTATTTTCCTTCTAATTCCTTACTTTGATGGAAAGTAGAATTATGTTTACTAAAAAGAAAACTGGTCTCCTTCTGCCTTTATAAAAGTGCACATGCTCCATTAATTATATACGATTATTGAGACAACACGTAAAATGTTATTGCGTGCAAAGGGCCAAGAGAGAGAAATCAGTTTCCGCCTTTGATTGTTGATCAGAGTTGCAGATTGGTTCGTGGTTAAAGGATCTGGATGTTGGATTTAATCTCAATAAGGTTTGATATCATGAATAGAGATATGCATATCTAACTATATTTATTTATGCGTTATAAGGATGTGAAATTAATTGAAGTTCTAAGATCTAGTATTTTATGATAATTTGTGATTAAAGTCTAACACAAATTTAATTAGAGTTTACACATAATTCTTTCAACAAAAAAATAAAAAAATACTCTTACCCTATTATAGAAATTGTCATTTATCAATAATTTGTTAAAAATATTACTTAAAGTCAATAAGTTCAAATATATAGTGCTTATTTTTTTGTTTATTACATTAGGTCTCCCTCGAAAAATGAATCATCTCTTTCCAAGATAAATCATAAAATTAGACAGTTTTAACATGTTATGTCCTAAGCCAGGCAATCTTTTTCAATAGGAGTCGTTAGCGCGTTCCCGTTTTCACGTTACACGCACATTTTTGTTCAAATTCTCACTATTTATGACATAATTTTGCTGTTCTCATGTTCTAGTTCTTAAATTCGCTCTCGCTTTCGCTTGATATGACTTAGGTTATGTCATTATTTTTTAATTATATTTCATTATATATATTTTTATTGTATTGATTTAAATCCAATAAAAATAAAATCATAACGTATTTCTAACCATTGGACGTTGGCTACACACATCTCGTGCTAGTACTAACGACAATACTATTTGTACCAGGGAGCAGCTAAACCTTTACTGCATTTCAATTTTATTATAATAATAATAATGATAATAATTTTCTCACCTCAAGTTGACAGAGAATTTAGCGGTGCATGCCAAGCAATCAACATTTTCTTTTTCCGACACATAATAAGATTTTAACTTCGGTGCAGGCCATGTAATTAACATTTACTCTCCCAACATAAATAACAAATTTTTCAATAAACATCCGCTCTCTGTAAATTTTAAATAAATAATTATTAAACATTTCAACTTTATTCAAGACAATATTATACGTTTACTTAAACTTTTGAGGGAAAAAAATATTAACAAGGCATTATTTTTTGTAGAATTTAAAAATGCTTTATAAGGCTTTTGGTTGAAGTGTTTGTTTGACTTGTGTTATTGTGTATCACAACTTTTTAAATATTATTTAAGTATTTTTATAATGCATAATTAAATTTATTAAAATAAAAATTATATAGCTACATATAGACTTATAAGTAGGTAAAATTTGAATTTTCTCATGATTCAGGTTACATTTACACACATATATAAATTTGTATTACCTATAAATATATACTTAAAGGTGCTTCACTTTTTAAAGATTTCATTTATGTTATATTATTGTAATTAAAAGCATATTGTTTGGAGTGACTTTTTTATCATTGAGAATTCTAAAATTTAATAAATTAATAATGATTAAATGATCCACTTTAGAAAATTGTAATTGACACTAAAAAATAATAAATGTATCACATGACTCTCACGTGCTTCTTCCGCATTATGGAAAGTACCAAACTACAGTGCTGTTTCCCAAATTCTCTTGCCTTTGAACGGCAACCAAACAGACCCAATACGGACTTGTAATTATTAGAGTTATTTTATACATTTCGTCTCTCTCTCTCTCTCTCCGATTCTAAGACGAGTCGGTGAAGCCACGGTCGATGATAGCTGACGTTATTTTCTCGAGAAAATATGAAAGCCAGAGAAAATATAGAGGATTGAATTATACAGAAGACTTGTCATCACCAAGTAAATTACAGGTAATTTTTCTGTCTTCAATTCATAATCTTAATACTATTCAAACTTTTTTCCATTTTTATGTCATTTTTTAATCATTCAGCTATACGATTCATTATTCGTATAAATTTATCTTGAAAGCTGTAGTATTCGCTGAATCGATTGGTTTGATTGAGACTGTTATGAATTAGGAGTACAAGTTCTTGATGACCGTCATTTTGGAATTAGGGTTTTGGGTTGTTTTTGGTGTTATTGCTTCTCTATTTGGTTTTTTTATTCAAATCTGTTTGGCAGCTGAATAAATTGAAAGAAAGAAAAATAAAATTAATTGGAGGATATAAAAATAGAATGAACTTATAGTTTGGTATTGTAATTTACGTATTTAGCTTCATTGAATTGAGGATTCTCTTTTCTTGGGTGCCGAAGAATGGGAAATATAAAAATTCAGAATTTAGTTTTTTTTTTTTTTCTACATTTTTTCTGCAACCAAACAGGGATGCAGTGTTCCTTCTTGGTTGGAGTTGTCATTGTTCAAGACTTGAGATTCACTTGAAATTAAGGTATTGCTTCATGAGCTTTGTTATTCCCCTTTTGAATATCCTACCCTTTGCTCCATCTTTAAGCAAGAGCCATTAATTTTTTTTAGGTCTGTTTTCCCCTCTAGCTTGGAGGTAAGGCTGTGTGCATCTCATCCTTCCCAGATCCATCAATGGCGGGAGCCTCGTACATTGGGCTAGCCCCAATAAATTTGATTTTATATTGGTTTTGTATTTAATTCATCTTAATCTTGATGACTTAGTATATTAGGTGTGGGTGTTTGTGAGCTTGATTTGTTTCAGGCAAAGATTATGGTTTTAGATTGTATTGTCTTCATTACAGTGGTATATTAAGTTGTAGAAGAGCATCCACTGGCATGTGTTGCTCTTTTAGCAAACACATGATTGAATTAGAATTATTTAGATGCAACATGTGCCATGTTGTTGCATACTGAAAAAAAGAAAGGAAAAACAGTAAATATGTATGGTGAATTGCTAATGTATTCACTTCATTATTTGTTTATTTAACAGAATTTTAACCAATTGCTCGTGTAGTCACTTCATTATTTGTTTATTTATCAGAATCTTAACCATTATAATAAATGTGTTCCTTTCTTTGCTTGTCTACATTGTTTTTTCTGTGAAGAGGAAACTAAATTGTGATTGGTCTCTCATACTAGGTTTGGTTCATTCACCTTCAGAACAAGTATAGTAAATTTTTTGAGGTTTTGTGCTGCAGTCCTTTTGGCATTCCATACAATATTCAGGCCTTCATGCAGAAAGGAGCCATATTGATAACTTAAATTATATGATTCTTTTGTCTGCAATTTTATTGGACTACAATGTCTGTTCCCTGTCAAGAAACAAGTCGAGATAACCCAATCGACAAATACCCTTTGCTCATGGAGCGGCCAGAGAACCATGAAAGTCATGAACATGTTATTGACATAGAAAGGGGTCATGACGCTTCTTCATCGGGTTCATGTCATAATGAGTCTCCTCGTGGCTTGAGTCTGCCCGCTGACGAAGGGAGACCATCAAGTAGTGCCCGGGTTCCTATAACTCAAACTACTTCAACTTTATCCAATGGATCAAACACTAGGAGTTCCTCACTCTCGAGAAGAGGGGAAGGTTCTGGCCGTCGTCATCGGAGCCCATTTAATACTGTGTTATGGCTTTCCATTGAGCTGGTGTTCACTTTAGGCCAAATTATTGCTGCCATTGTTGTATTGTCAGTGTCAACAAATGAGAACCCACAAACTCCATTATTTGCTTGGATTGTGGGTTATGCAGCTGGGTGTGCCGCAAGTCTTCCAATCCTTTACTGGCGTTATCTCCACCGCCATCAAGGTACTGAGCAGGGGTCGACTCAAATGCGTCAGGGCTCTTCTCAAGGCAACTCTGCATCAGAACCAAATTCTTACATTAATATTGCATTAACTCGGTCCTCAGATGAGGAAGATCGTCAGAATACATCTAGAGGGACTTGGAATGGTCAAACAATGGAAGCTCCAAATGCTAGGTGAGTGTTTGCTTTTTTGTTTCTCATAATGTTTTGGATATCAAATTCCACAGTACATAACATGTTTACTTGCATTTCTTCCCTAGTATTTTGTATTAACCTGGTTTCGTTTGCATATTTAACATGTGCTACTATAGGTTGCTCAGTAGTTTTGGATTCCTTTCAGTTCATTAGAATAGCCACAAAACCTGGTGATGAGTAAAATTAGGTTCTATGATAAATGTTAGAATTTTATGTGTTTCTTTTTGTTTTGTATGCAAGTAATGTCTTTGTTTAGCAGCTGAAAACATCACAAGATCAATTTGAAAATTCTATCATGGACTTTAGATAGAATTGTTTGCTTAACCTCTTAAGTGCAGACCTGTTGTAGATCTAATAAATATTGACATGCACAACCCATCTCTCTCTCTCTCTGTCTCCACATTCTTTTCATTTATCAAGAAAAGTTTTACAATTTTCGACAATTTTGGAATTATGTAAAAATAATGCTTTAATTTACTTAGCAAAAAAAAAAAAATGTAAAAATAATGCTTTAACATTTTAGAATTTGGATACATGAGTCATGTTGCATTTCTTACAACTCATTGTTGAAAGAAGATTTACTACTACTAGTTTGGTTAAAAGGTTTCATTATTCTCCTCTGCCATTTCTCACATCCCATTCTTTATGTCGTATTATGTCAAAATGCTCATCCAGATATATCTTTTAATATAAATAACACACACACACACACACACATATGCACACAAGGGTTAATTACCTTAATAAGAAAAATAAGAGTTGGATTCTAGTTGCAAAATATATAAATACTTAAGGGTTCAATTCCTTACCCAAATATATGTATATATTGGGTTGAATTCTAATTGCCATTTTCTGAACATGAATATTAATAGGTGAAAGTAATCGCACGGCGGAACCTTCCTCTATTGAAATGTAAGCAGATTACAGCAACAGCATTTAATGCTAGACCATCCTAACTGACTGTTCATATATTAGTTTAAAAATACCACTGTTACTGCACTTTGAATGGTATCATGCACATGTTTGGACAGTTTAAAGTGTGTCTTGCACATGATTAGGACACGGCAACACATGGTATAAGTTGGAGATGATTCAGATATGGACCTGAATGGTAAAGGCAAGAGGCATGTGCACTTCTTTATGTGTGGGTATCAAAAGAAAAAAGGGAAAACAAAATTGGACATTGAATTAATAAAGCGTTGCCCTTTGTTGTGGAACTTAGAGACATGCACTCATGTAACTGTTGTTCTTACTTAGGCATTTTATTGTTGGCAAATCTTTGATTTGAGTGTGTTTCCACATAGCTTTTATCATAATTCTATATATGACTATGTGGCTTACCAATTATTAATTCTTAACAGGCTCAGTGTACTAATGGACCACTTTAAGATGGCCTTGGATTGCTTCTTTGCAGTGTGGTTTGTAGTCGGCAATGTATGGATTTTTGGAGGCCACTCGTCTTCTTCTGATGCTCCCAACTTGTATAGGTACCAGTTGATGACCCGTAAAAACATTTTCTCTCTTGCTTCCATCCTATTAGGAAAGCCTAACGTGTTATCTGGCTCATTTGCAGATTATGTATTGTGTTCCTTACCTTTAGCTGTATTGGGTATGCTATGCCCTTCATTTTATGCGCATTAATATGCTGCTGCTTGCCTTGCATTATTTCAATCTTGGGTGTCCGTGACGATATGAATCGAATGAGAGGAGCCAGTGAAGAAATCATTAATGCTCTGCCAACATACAAATTTAAGTTAAAAAAAGGTGGAAGCAGCAATAGCAGAGCATGTAATTCAGGAGTTGATGAAGGTGGTTTTATAGCAGTAGGAACGGAAAAGGAGCGTGCCATTTCTGGGGAAGATGCTGTAAGTTCTGTAAATCTTTTTTTAATGGTTTTATATTATTTGATAATTTGGGATTCGTAGCATGAAATAGCATTGCCATGTTTTATATGTGTTCCCTAATTTGTTGTTCTTTATCAGAACATTACTGTTCATAGTTTATGCCTACCATATATAAGTTAAATTGCATACTTTTTTATAGTGCATTCAGCACATCTCCATAGGAGGTGCAACTTCTGCTCCATTGCAATATCCTATCCCACACCTCTACCGTAAGCATCCCTACTAATGCTAATGGGGAAGAGGAAATAGCAGGTCCGTGAACTTCACTTAGAAAGAAACAGTTAATGAGTTACAATGTCCACTGTAAAGGCACTGTTTTTGTGCAGTGGGTAAAAGCTTTTATCTGGAAAGCATGAGAACGCGACTTGAATTTGTGGGTAGCCACTTTGTGCAAATAATATAAGTTGGGTTTGTACCCAGTTCCATCTCTTCCAGTGACCTTTAATTAAAGGAAATCACACTGGCTAATGGTCTAGTTACTTTCATTTTTTTATTTTTTTATTTTATTTTTTCCCCTCGTGGACAGACATGGATTAAGGTTTTCTTGTTGGGTATTAATTCTGTTCTGTTCCCATATATTGTTGTTGTTGTTGTTCTTTCTCCTTTGTTTCGTTTTGACCAACAGTGAGTGCTTTAAAACTGGTGCAGTTATGTTGTATTTGCTTGGCAAAATATGCCGATAATGATGAGATGAGGGAGCTTCCTTGTGCACATTTCTTCCATATGGAATGCGTGGATAAATGGCTGAAGATCAATGCTTCATGTCCCCTTTGCAAATATGAGATCGGTGAGAGCAATGAGATCTTGGCAGCTACAGTAGATTCCAGTCAGCAAACGTGAAGTGGTCAAGGATTTAAATTACTGGGGATGTTATGCAATCAGTCTGGAATTCTCTAGCCTTTTGAATGGGGAGAAGTTCTCTTGGACTGATTCTTGACCTATTTTTTGGCCATCAAGTCGGGTGTTGTACAGAGTCAAATCAAGAGTCTTCGACAAGCTTATATGATAAATTGTATTTCAATTGAAATTTATAAATGAAAATACAAGATTGAAGGTTGTGAAATTCACCTCCGATATATGGAACAAATTGCATGATGATTGAACAGGCATTAAGATGGCAACTAGCGAGAGGCTCAATATATGCCAAGTTGGTTGAAGTCACAAATTTTGGTCAAGGCCGAGTTCAGATATATCATCATTTTCGTTAGTTTTTAAGAAGTATTTTTCTTGCTTAGACCTGCTTTTCTCTTCTCTGGCTTTGTCATCAACAAGAAGCTATCAAGGTTTGATTGATTGGCAGCTATCCACCAAATTTGTCTAAAGTGAAATTGAAACTGAATATTTAATTATCTTTTTGTGGCGAATTATTACCTAAAAAGATAAATTGATTAAGTTGATGTATGTCTTGTGCGCCTTTTCATGTTTTTGAAATATTATAAAAAATTTAAGATTGAGTTTCTTGCTAGCCTCATTGTATCTTTCGTGTGAAACGTTCTCATTCAATCATAAAATTGATAGCCTCATTGTATCTTTCCCATTAAACCTTCTCATTCGGTGATCATAATATTGATCTTATTTTCGTTATTAAGAAAGTTGAAGAGAGAACAAGCTGGCAAAAACCAAGCTGATTAACTACCACTACTACTACTACTACTAAAGTTCTACAACGTTCTCTCCCTCCATGGGTCACAAGTTGAGGACTGATTGGCAACTAGCTCAGATATTGAACATCCATGCAATTGAAGCCAAGCTCATTAGCATCACCAACATGCAGTGCCCATTCAGCTTTTCTCCCTCATTACTGGTTGGAGTGGCCTTCGAATCCTTACTTGAACCGGTCCCCGAGGAAGAAGATGACGACGGTGAAGTCCCCGATGTGGAAGATGGTGGTGAATTTGTCGCTGAGCTGGTGGTTGAAGTACCTCCATCCGCTTCTTTAAAGATCTTCGCGTCTGGTGAATCCGGTGGGAGATTCAGTAATGCTGTGAACAACATCAAACAATAATTATTATATCATCAAGCCATCGCAATAAATTAAAGTTCTTTTCCAAGTTGTAATCGAAATTAAATATTCATCAAGTCTAACGTCCAAGTATCTGTAGAAGCAAATTAATGTTCCATCGATCTTAATGTCTTGTCCTAGTGATTATTTCGACCAGGATGCTATGGAAGAGACAGAAGTATTCAAAACACCCATTATCCATAACCCACAAAAAGAAAAGAAAAGAAAAGAAAAGAAAAGAAAAAATGTCAACCTTGGGCATATGACTAGCGCATACCATTTTGTGGCCTATATTGCTATAACATTTCAATATCAATATTAGTACGTTATATGACCAACAATATCACGTTATGTTAAAAATTAGGATTTGGATTCTCTCCTATGACTTTTCGCTCCAAGTATCTCCAAGTCTCTATGGCAAGAAAACACGAAACTCATCATTTGTACAGCTCACTATTCTTAATTTCATGCACAATTTAATCCAGTAAAGATGATGATGTGGTTTTTATGTAACCGTTAGATTTAGGCTAGGAGATACACAGAAAATATTGGAGAGTATCCATGTCCTGAAATTTATTTTAGTTTTCTCCCCAAGAATCAAACTAGATAGGGATATATATATATATATATATATATGTTGTTATTTGCAGGGGGAGGGAGGGTATTATTGGAGCTAGGAAATACTGGGGCAATCGGAGACTTTGGCATCGATGTTGCAAGCAGAGGGCATTTGAAGTGCCAAAGTGGTATTGACAGGGAGGCCCATGGAGGGGTCAGTGCTCTCTTTGATGAGAACACAAAGACACTTGGGCTTTGCACTCTTCACTTTCTGTGTGTCCTCGCAGCACTCAGGCGTCGGCTTCTTGGCACTGCCACTCACATACGGAATGCAAGCTGCAAGGTTCGTCAGCTGGTCCGCACAATCCTTCTCATCCTCCTCCATCGTACCCATTGTGGACGCCACCAACGCTGCCGCTATTATGCAGAACACCACTAGCTTCTTACCCCTCCCCATTGCATATACTCGATCCCTTTTCTTTCTAGCTCTCTGATTATTCTAATTACTGTGTTTGTGTGTGTGTGTGTGTGTTGTGGGTAGTCTTTTGTTTTTGATATGGAGGTTGTATCTCTCCTTTGTATTTGTGGGTAGCTTGTATTTGTAGGGTATATATGAGTTAGGTAAGTTAGTTGTCTATGACCTTTTCAATCCTCTCCGTCCTTGTCTTTAATTGTGACATTCAATGCAATGTGGAGATGAATAATGGTAGCTACAATAATAATAGTATTTTGCTTTGAAAAATGTAATTTGATATCCCGAGGGAGGACAAATTCATTTCTGTTTGTGTGAGGTTTGGGTTACCGAGAAAATTCTTCACCCGTCACCATTATATCTCAGGTCTTGTCACCATTTTCCTTATCCAACCCACTAATCTCCTTTAAGATTCACATGGCCCTTGAGTAAATAAATATGTGGAAATATCGGTCCACCGGGCCCAACAGATCTTTTTGGGTGGAGTAATTTATATACACAGTCTAACTTTTAACATCGGATGTGCTCTCGGATGTGTTGGATTTAAAATGAGATCAACAAATCTTCAACGAATCACAACTTCCACTGACAAAATATAAAGAAACCGAAGGGTTATATCATTGTCGCAACAAGGATTAGGCCCACATGTTCTAGCCAAACAGAACCGAGGTCCAAACCCAATTATTGAAGTCCCTCTGTCCAAAACGAGCCCATAGCCAGTTAGCCATAAGGAAAACAGATGCAGAAATTCAAGCGGAGGAACAATGGAACACCACTGACAAACATATAAAAACAAATCGTTACAGAAACAAAAAGCACTCACACTAAAAAAGGCCTTTATATATATAAAAACACCTCACATCGAGGAATAAAACCAATATGCATTCAACAAAAATCACCTCAACTATTTATAGAAAATTGGGCATTAACATGATATACAACACGTCAGAGGTCCTCTTTACATCCAAAGGCATGTACTTTGAAATCTCTTTTAAAAAATCTCTCCACCCACCTCATGCATACACCATAGAAGAGGAGGGGAGAGGACAAATGAATGTATACAATGTGCTGTACAGAGATGTAAAACATGAGACTTCAGTGACAACTCCATCTGATTATGGTGGTGATGTCTCTCTTCACTCTATCCACATGAAAGCTGATCACAATTTTCAAAGACTACGTCAAAGTGTGTTGTCAACTGCTTCATCAAACCACGGCAATGTGATTTTTCCTAACTTGTTCCTGTTATGAAAGCAGATCCTGCTTTCCATTTGAGTCTGATGCGACTGAAGCAGGAGGTTTCATATGACTAGGTTGTGGTGGTGGAGCTGTAAGGGCATAGGTAAGCCTAGAAGAGGAACTCTCAATTAGACCAGCAACTCCAGCAGCTGCAGATTGAGCATTTGAAGGAAGGAAAAGATCATGCTTCTGGTCTTTGTACGCGCTCCAAACCTATAAAAATCACCATATCATAAGAATCCAAGTAAACAAAATTTCTAACATTCTAAAAATTGCCATATCATAAGAATCCGAGTAACATATCTTTCTAATAGTACAATCACATTGTAAGTTGACTTCGATAAATTTCCCTCACATCTTACTTGACTATTTGCAAAAAAATGAAAAATAAATAAATAAACTTACCTAGCTTCTTTGAAATTAAATCACGAAATCACATATTGATGACCAAAAAGAACGAGAAAAAAAAAGAAAAAAGAAGAAGGTACTCTCTACTGCTCTACAGGAAGCAATAGAGCAAATCCCAGGTAAACTTCTGTCAAGATATTGTTCTGAGTAAACCGATTTGCATTCTGGACCAAAACACATATTAGAACGTATTTTACTTCCCAGTTTTATGAGTTGCAGTAGAATGTATTTTCTTTCAGATTTTACTTTTTTTTTTTTTTTTTTTTTTTTCTGATAAGTAATAATAACATAAAAAGGCATTCAAAAGGGAAACGCGTCCCTTATACAGAAGTGGAACCGGGGCTAAGGCCCCAAAGAATCCAAAAAAAATAATTAAAGCATCAGAGCTCCTCTTCACAAAATTGAAAAGAGAACGAAGAATGTGAAGTTTCAATATTGCCGTAGACGACTCTTTCCCTTCGAACATTTTACTATTTCTCTCCTTCCAAATGCACCACCATAGACAATGTGGTACAATTCTCTAGAAATCGCGTACATCCCTTCTCACACGACATCCTCTCCAAACATGAATCAAATCCTTAGTAGATCGTGGCATTACCCAACACATGCCGAACAACCCAAGAATAAGATTCCAACAGTCGTTCGCAACAGTCTTTCAGATTTTACTTAATAGACCAAGATAGTGCATTCCAGGAGGAAATTGTTGAGAGAGAAAAAAAAAGAAAAGAAAAAAAAGCACCGTCCATTTATCATGTTTTAAGCACATCTTAAGCCCATCCATCCCCCATCCCAACAATGTAGAGAACAACCAAATTTTAATCAGGGATCTCCCACACCCAAAAAAGAAAACAAGAAAAATTGTCCAAGGATTTCTTTAACTAAATTGGTGTATACAACAGAACACCGTATCATTTGTTACTTGTTAAGAGTTTGGCTAGTGTAGAAAATATTTAGTGAATAATAGAGAATATCTACTTCTATTTTGAACCCTATAGAGTTGGTTGAATTTCTGAGTCCAATATTCCACCTCTCTAGCATGGTATCATGATTTCTGCATTTGTGGTGCCCAATGAGAGACCACAATGGATGTTTAAACAAGTAACGGATGACATACTACACAACTCATAACTAGACGTCTGGTTTTGGTATATGGGCCTTACATTCAACTGCTGCACTCTTCTAGTTACATGAAAAATCTGCTGCTTATAACAACTATAGTCCCAAATTACAGCACTTCCAGAGATGACAGAAATATCAAATGCTCAAAGAAGTCTCTTCTAATTTAATAGTTAATACCACTAATCTTTTCTAGACACCATTGCTTTTCTTAGTGGTGAAAAACTCAAACAGCCAAGGATAAAAATGTAAAAGCCTGAAGGCAGCCACTTTGAACAACTAATGCGGAAGGTTAGCTTTGTACCAGGTCTGCCCCTCCAAGTATCCTCAATTAATGGGGACCACACAAAGTAATGGCTTTTTAAATTTACTATAGAGATCAATAAATATTTTATGATATTCATTTCACTTGTAACCCAGATAGCAATCTTCTGGCCCTTTAAATTTGAGGGAGTGTTGAAATAAAGGAATTCCACAGTTGTATAACAGTAAAATCTATTACATCAGATTATGCCTAGTTACATTATTGTAAATTTTAAAAATTTATAAACTATATAAGAATTAAGAATATCTGCTTTTGATGTCATACCTTTTAGCTCTTCATTACATTTTCTTTTTCGATATCAAAACTTGTCATAGTTTCTTTAATATCCACTTTAAGAATCAAAAGAGAGAGAATAAATTCTCTTGCTTGCTAGCTAGCAGTTGCTGTAATTAAGAATATAAATTGTAGCTGCCATAGTCATCATTGCTGTTATTATTGCAAGCTATCAGTGTTGCCACTGGTGATGATCCCTATTTGTGTTCATATGATGATCATAATACGAGCGTACAATCACAACCCTTAAATACACTCATGCATAATAGCAAAAGTATGAGGTAAAATGGATGAAGAGAATGAATTAGGGGAAAAAAAATAAAGAAAAACACAGATGGGCAACCCCCCTACATGACGGCAGGGAAGAGCAGGGTGAACAGGCCATTGAAGCCCAACTTCTAAAGGTCATGAGTTCCAACTTTGTTGTGTGCACATGATGCCCACTTTTAAGTTTGTAGGACTACTGGCTTCATGTCCAGCCTATTAAAACTAGTTTTCTCGCGTTAAGACACATAAATCAACTTGCGAAGAAGTAAAAACCACTGCCTTTTAGTTATCATAGGCATATGATGCCTTCTTTATTACTTTGAATCTTTCCTTGCATGCTATTAAACTCTGGTCAAGGTTAACAAGAAGTATTTGGTTCATTATATGGTACATTAATCATTTAAAGAAACTGACTTTCTTATTTCCATTCAATATTAGTGTGCTATTTACAACCGATTTGGATTAATCAAAATTCAATCTTGATGAAACAAATTATAGTCTACTCAAGAAACTTATTAAAAATAATTGGTTTGATAGATCTCAAAACTTGGACAAAAAATATCAACATTCAAGATCTTACATTACAAGCACCAACAATTGGAAAAATTAAGCAAGTGATCGGAGTTGGGACTTACATCAGAGTCACTTAGTATCTCACGAACTTTAGAACAATGAGCCCCTTCTGCTGCAAACGCATGCAAAACCTGCATCAACATATCCCAGACCATGTAATTGCACAAAACTCATGAACTCGAGAAAAGTTATTAAAACTTTAGCATGAAAAGCACTAGCCATGCATTTAGTCCAACTTAGAGAATCAACCAAATGAAGCAGCCAATATTTGTCTAGATAATCGTTCATGTGTATTGTAAGTTGTAGCATAAACTGGTTAAAAGAATTAAAAAAAATTAATTTCAAAAAGACTATCTTAGATCTAGCTTTAGTAAAAGGCTCCTAAAGCAAAGATGGCCAATTACTGGAAGACATACTATTTCTCCTCAATATAACAATGACTAATTTAGTATCAAGGACAATTTGAATTTTTGCCCCATGTCGTATTAAAATGGCCTACCGATAAGTTAAAAACAGAGAAGCATTAAGGTGATTGGTGTCAATGACCACAAGAAACATCACTTCTATTCACCAGAATCAGTCAGCATGCAACCAACTTTAAATGCTTTGAGGTGTATAAATTGATAGTCTGAGGTGAACCTTAAAAGCACGGGGAATGTCACGCAGCAGATGAATGAGAAGATTGAGTGTCTAAAAAACATATAGATAAGAGACCACACAAATAGATACATTTATAATTATCAATGAAGTACACTAACCTCAATAGCGAGCACCCGGCCAATAGATGCTTCAGATTCATTCCACTTCATCTGAGAGCAAAGTCCATTCCTTCCTCCAGCCCTCCAATCAAGAAGTCCAAGAAGTACTTCAACGAGACCAACCCTACATGTTTCATGCAATTGTCCAAAAACATTACCCAAGCGTACAAGAAGGTAAAACAATTTTCATATATAAACCATCAAAGAACTAATTTTTGATTGATGGCGATAAGATTCAATAACTCTAGCTCACATAGTCACATCCCTTTTTAAATCATGCTAGCACTTTGACCACTGTGCTATAATAGTTTGGCAATCAAAGGGGTAATTTTTTAATCAGAGGCGTTATTCTCCTATTTACTACTCAATAACTCAACTCTGTTGATCATAATAATTACCTATCTGACCTATTTTTTTCTTTTCTTTTCTTTTTTTCATCATCACAATAAAATAACAAAGGGTGAGAAGACATGAGACAATAAGCGCGGGCATAGATAATTGATACAGATAATGTGCAATACTGATAAGTAAACCTCCGTATCTGCATGTATTTAATGTTCATGTGCATGTCGATAACTTCTTTCACAGCATTGGTCTGGAAAGAACAATATACTTATGTGATGATTGATGTGCCTATGATACTCACTTAAGTCCTTGTGCAACAAGTGCATCCCTAGCTCTATTTCCAGCAACCACAACCCGTTTTAATGTCTCAAGAGCTAGTATACTTCCACCTTGCCATCCAATAGCTTTCATTAGAAGTGGAACAACCTGGAAGCAAAGGCAACATGGGTGAACATCCAACGAACCAAAAATGAAAACATCTAAAGACCAAATCAAGGGACTTGTCATATACCTGAGGTGTTCCTACACTAGTTGCTGCCATGGCTTCTGCACACGTTGTACTGGCAGCAAGTTGATGTAGGACACGTAAACAACTAAGGCGAACACGTTCTTGTGGAGTTTGTGAACTTGGCTGTGTTGAACTGTCCTCAGTTTCAAATGTTCCATCAGCATGGCTGCCATTGTTCATCTCCCCTGAGGCCATTGTTTCTCTTCTTCCTTCATAGGCCACTGCAGACACAAGTTTGGGCACGTATCCAAGATATCCAACATGATCTGCAAGTGCAGGGTGTACCCGCAATAAGGAAACCAGTGCAGCAGACAAAAGCAGTGGGAGCTCAGGGTCAACAGTTTGCATGTCATAATGTGTTGCAGCAATGGACGAAAGATACTGCTCTAATAATCCTTCCAAAAATCTCTTCGGATTTCTAAGGGGAAATTTGGGATCTTTCAAGAATAGCCTGACATATATTCCACCAACCTACAAGACCACAAAATTTGGATTCACCAAACAGTATGAACATATTGGATTGAAAATTCACATAGCACACACCAAGTCATACCTGTGGCTCATCTTTCATTTCCTGTGCACCAGATGCTCGCTCAGGTACATCCCAATCCACAACACGACCTTTTATTTGTTCACGATATAGGTCTGCTGCCATGGTTGCAATTTGTGCAGACAATGAAGTTGCCATTGCTGGCGTCCAGACAAGTTCTGGAGTCTCTGTTGTTTGTTCAAGTGCACGCACAACAGCTTCACCAGGCCCATCCCTAATAACTGATACCAAGCCATCTGGTAGAAACCTTGCTAGTGTAATGGCCACTCTGGGCCCATGCATTGGCTGCCCAACAAGCTTCCCCAACAAAGAGGCAGCTGCTGCTCTTTGCTGTAGGGGAATTTCTTCTGCAAAAGACCATTTTCACTCAGTATAAGAAATAATTCATTGAAAGGTTAATGTGAAAAAGAAGGCAGAAGGAAACTCTTTACGTTGCAAAGGCAGTAGAAGTTCAAGAATGTACACCACTCCACCATGCTTGGCAGCAGCCCATGCGAGTTCTGGTGTACTTGCCAGGGCAAAAAGAACATGTAGAGCCCCTTCACGACAACTAGGGGCAGAGTGAAGCATTTGCAGTAAAAGGAGAAGACTAGAGCCATCAGCAACCATGGCCTCCAAGCACGGAGCATATGTAGTCAGTAGTGACAGTACACTCAAACAAAGTTGAGGGATGTTGCTTTCTGAAGCAACAGAAACAGAAAAACATTCAAAAAGAGGTAATAGTTTTTCCTTCGTAGAAAATACAGATGCCAATTTTGGGTCACTCGTCAATAAGTTCTGCAATTATGAAAAATAGACATCAGAGTGAGTATATCAATTTATAATTCAATGTAAAGTTGTAAGCAAATCAGTTGTGTACCTGAAGAGAAGTCAATCCAAACTGAAGTTTCTTAACCAGTTCAAAGTCCGCCTTGCCCATCATTTTTCCATCAGAGGCACCTGAAGTATTATCAGAAACATGCTGTTCACTGTTTGACCCATTGGCTGTGTTATTTTGAAGGTCAGTTGTTTCATGAGATGATCCACTGATCTGACCATCAGAATCTGTAGCCCATGGACTGTGCACTAGAAATGATATAAAATCAACAAGAGCAAAACAGAAAGCTTCCGGTTCACTGATCTCAAAATCTGGTTGATCATTGTAGACCCTCAAGTACACATTGCCAACAAAGAGTTCTTTCGACAGTGCTTCATATGTGAAGGCAGGTGAATCTTTCAGGTCATAGGAACCATCAGGACCTTGATTTGCACGCTGCTGGTCCACAAATTTCAATAGCTCCGCTCGGGTTGAAGAATTCCAAATAATCTGCAACCAAAACCATTTGAACAGTGAGATATATATAAAAAAGTCCAAGACAATCTTGTGCATAGGAAAAATGATTATTGAGATTTGTTCTGTACTATAGAATAACTACGCATAGAATTGAACATACATGCACTTTAAGCCAACAATTTTCTCTATATCTCGTGTTAGAACACCAAGTTTCTGCAGACATGTCTTCATAGAATCATGATTTATAACACCCAAGGAATATCAATTAGGCTGTAACCCTTAACAAGAAAACAAGAAACTCCACGGAATCAAATTATTAGACGAATAATTTGTCGATATTACTTGCCACACTTTTGTCCTATCAGTGACGCATAATCAATTATGATCTCTGAATGCTGTCTCTTTTTTTACCTGTATAAGACTTGTTTTTTTTTTTTTTTTTTTTGGTAAGTCTGTATAAGGCTTGTTTTTTTTTTTTTTTTGATAAGTTGTATAAGGCTTGTTTTTAACAACTTGAAAGTGATAAAAATGCCAGGAAATGAAGTGCTTTTAGAGAGTCCAAACCTAAACAGACACACACACATACATCCACTTCAAAATTCAAATATACTAAAGATCCAAACTCACCACAACAATGTGGACCGACAGTGTGAAATAATACTACAGAATCCAAACAGGAAAAGTACAGCATTTACCTCTGGTGTCTCCAAGTTTGTGTTTAATCTGGACAATAGGTCTTTGGGTAACTGGTCTTTCAGCATACTGGCAAGTTTAGGGGTTAGCAAGGCTCTCAGAGTATCTGCTGCAGCCTGATTAAAGGGTGTCGAACTTTCATCCATACACAAACCACTAAGCCTTGTCAAGGCCTGAGATGCCAGTGTTGCATGCAGATTCTTTGCAATCTGAACACTAGCACCAACACCATGTGCCTCCGTCATATCAGATTCCTCTGCAGTTGAGTCATATTGAAGCAACAAAGGCAAGAGGTACCTAAAATACGAGTATAACACCATAAAAACAACAAAGTTCATGAAAGAATAAAGGATTATTAAGGATTTCCATTATCATATGTTCAAGACATTTAATTACTTCCTAGAAAGATAACCATTTCAATAACCACAATCATATATCAAAAACCAGAACAGCATAACGAATGACAATAGAAAAATGCAGTCGTATTTGAAACGAAACTCCCTGTTCTTCATAATTCAACAGTTCAGGCATTACAAGTTTACAACAGTGAAAAGAAGGAAATTTAACTGAAGAGCCTCTGCTATTTAGGCTAGGAAACAGGATTTAATGGCTGTGCAGTTAAATATACTCCAACTCATACATTAACTTAGCAATGTTTTTTGTTGGCATTCCCAAGATTCCTTCAAAGTTGTCTATTTGATCTCCACTATATCCAAATTTTTTGAAGACTGACTTCTGAGATATGAAGAATTGAAGTTAGAAAAGGAATACGGCACAATGATGATAGGTCTACAATCAATATGCTCTGATATCAATTATCAGCGCAAGTCCCAAAACAGATCTAGAAAGAGTGAATAGATCTTGTCCAATTTTAACTAACAATAACTTATTTTTTAAAATTATCACAATTATATTTTAAAATGAACATTATGAATCAGTTAAGAATAGAGCGCATAAATAAATAAATCATGCAAGAACACAAGACGTCAAAAACCTCAATGGGGAAAAATCATGGAAACCTAGTCCAGTCAAACCAAATCCACTATGAGAAAAGAGGTTACAACCAAGTCAATAGTTCCCTAACCCCTAGTCACCTCTTGACATGGACTGATCCAACAAACTCAACACTTGAGTCTCCTCTAAAAGTGAATTTGAAAGTATATTAATTTTAATAAATAAAAAATTGACACAATGATCAGTTTTCACAACTTGGAATTCTCACCAAAAGCAACTTTTAAATTGGTTTTTAATTTAAACTCAAAGTATATCAAACCGACATTAAGGTTTTCAAATTCATTCCTAATGGAATAATATTCAATTTTAATCTTTATGATTATATTAAAATTAATTAAATATTATTTTTAAATTTAATTATAAATTAATACGAGTTTCCTAATTTATTCACTTAAAATCCATTGGTCTCTTACATCACTTACCTTCTTTATTTTGTGGTGGTGATTGATGAAGGTTGAAGCAAGATGTCGATGCATTTGTTCGACTCGGTCTTCAATCTACAATCATAACTTCACCGTTGATGTGAACCTTCCGTTAAGGTGACACCACATACAAACGGAATATAAATGCATGACACTTTTTCTTAACATACGGCAAGGACATGGCAATGTATATATATAATACACTCTGTATATATAGTGTATTAATGAAGATATGTATAAATTTGAAATAACTATTGTCATATATATTATTACTTATTACTAATTTTCCCTTGTAAAAAAATTGTGATAGATAAGCTGAATGTTAGATTGCTTGGATCCTTTCAAAAAAAAGTCATATTCCATGGAAATAGATTTTGGACTAAATTAGACGTCATATATTCTCATTATATCTCAATTCTTCTTCTTTTTTAAGATTTTCAAAGTATTTGGAACCCTTGTTATGTGAATCCTAACAATAATACTACGGTATTATACTTGGGAAAATTATATTTTTAGGTTCAAATACATGTTCAATTTATTTATTTATTTATTATTAATCATTTATACATTTAGGAAGTTTCCATGGGTATGCTCTTGTGGAGTATTGCTATCCAATAGGGATAAGTCACTGGACATTGTGTAGTATTGGTATCCGATACGGTATGTCAATGGATATATGTGCTCATTAGGGTGCATTCCAACGACTTCTGATGGAACTTATATGCTCTTATGGAGCACTCAGCAATACAAAATAGCATGTTCCATCAAAATGTCAATGGATGAGAGGAAAAACAGCTAAAGAATGATAAAAGTGAATATAGGAAACCCAAGAAAATAAATAAGATCGTGATCATGTAGGAAAAAGACAGAATACAGGAATGCATAGCGTTGATTGAGCAAGATAAGGGACAGGAAGTAGAGGGAGGCCAACAAATGCAGAAAACTCAACTAATGGGTTGATCAAGGGTCAGATTGAGCATGTTGCTATAATCTCTAGCGCCACAATAATGCACTATAATGATAAATGTGAAAACAAAATAATGAAATAATTGACTTACCATAGCACACCAGCCTTCAATAAAGCCTCTTGTAATTCAGAGGTCACAGAAGCATGTGCGATGGTCTGCAGAGCAGCATCAACAGCTGCAGGTACAAGCTCAAGTTCAGTGCTGTGCACAATGTCCTTAACTAGTCCGGAAAAATCAAGCATCTCAACTCTGGCACTTCCAAACCGACTCAAAACAGAAAATGTTTGCATCACATTTGTAACAATGATGGCAGCTGGTTCAGTTGCAGGAGTAGTTGGCTGAACTACATACATACAACGCGAAAGAAGATTTGCAAGAAGCTGTACACCACCATCCCTCACAAGCTCCTCACCATTAAGTGAAGAAGATGCACACCTAAAACATGTAAGGGAACATGTTAAGAAGGAAGGCCTATCAAATTTCCTTGTCATATTCAAGAAAATTAGAAAACCTAACAAAAGTAAGTAATGAGCAAACTGACGTCAGCCAAATGAGCTCTGAAGCAGCAACAAGCAGAGGAGCTCTATCAGAGGAAAGAAAATTGCTGTCATCCTTGTCTACCATAACTGCGTTTAACAACATGGGATTCCCAGCATATTTAAATGGCACCAATACATCCCCATACCGTCTATATAGGATACACTGCCCCTTCAATAAAAGCAGCGACCTCCAAGGTTGGGGACCTTGCAACCCTTGCATGGTAGCCTGTAAACAATTATACAAGGAATAATATTTAACAAAATCACAACAGCAAGAAGATGCAAGCTTTCAAGTATATAGACTACAATTTGGAGCATGCATATCAGAGTACTAGAGGATAAGTTATCATATCCTATCCTCGGAATACAAGTTTTTTTTATGTGACATTTCATGCACAAGCCTTATAATTGGTTCTATAACTATGACAGAAAAAAGAAATATTTATACACTGCTTAGAACCAAAAGGCTCCAAGATAATAGCTAGTCTATAGTTTAGGAGATCTATCTTCTTTTTCTTTTTCTTTTCTTTTCTTTTCCAGTCATCACATAGATTGCTTTGCTTTCGCAAACAAGAGTTTAGGTATGTCACAAGAGTTATTTTTCCTTTTCATTGGGGATACTGAAACATCTTCAAAGAATTGTTCAATCTTAAATGCAAACATCTACATAAATTCCATATAATCGTCATATGTTCGACTGCTTTGAGGTAACAAGTTATCAATTCCGACATCAACCATACACCAAATCATGCCTTTTTAAGCATCAGGAGCCACCATTTTATAGCTTTTGATAGACCAAATTGATTAACTGCTTTAAGAATCAATGCAGTAAGAAGGGCCTAACCAAATCAACTCCATTCAACAAAGCCTTGAATCTTGATCCAACTACTTGGGGTTGGCTACATGAATCCTGTTATACACAAGATGGGCCTAAAAATATTCTTTAAAATCTTTGTGAATGCTCTTAAAAGCTTTTATACTGTTCAAGGAGATTGAACAACAATAAGCAAAGCTATATCTAACAATCCCACCTTTTTTGCAATGATTGATCTCTAATGATGGCCATCAAACGGATCCTGATCCTTCAGTAATATGCCACATAGCACGCTGTGTGTTTGCCCAGAATGTCAATAATTTGCCTTTAACAGGTCCAGAAATCGAACAACTAAGATGAGCCCTTTTGAGATTGTTTATGGGCAGAATCCAAAGAGTGTTTTAGATCTGGTTCCACTTCCAATAATGGGCTGTGTGAGTTCTAAAGCTGAAGAATTGGTAGACCAAATCAAAGAAATTCATAACAAGGTGAAGTAACAAATCGAGAAGAGCAATCAAAAGTATAAAGAACATGTCAACAAGGGTAGAAGGTGTGTGATATTTGATGTGGGAGATTATGTACGGACTATTTTGACCAGAGATCGATATCCGGTTGGCAAGTACAACTAGCTGAGTGCAAGAAAGATTGGACCGTGTGAAGTAATTGAAAGGATTAACGATAATGCATACAGGTTAAAGCTTCCCAGCCACATCAAGACATTCGATGTGTTCAATGGTCGTCATTTGATTCCTTATCAAGGTGACTCTTCGAGTGATATGATGCTAACTCAAGGTCAAGTTTTCTCTCACCCGGAGGGACTGATGAAGAGCAAGTGGAAGAGGACTATCTTCAAATAGTTGAACATCCTAAGAAGACCAGACTGAGTTTCCATAAATATAGGCAGCCGATGATGAGTCAATTGTATGATTGTTTATGGGTCTAGTGTCTTTATACAAGTCTTAAGTATGTTATTTCATGTTTAGGATATTATTGTCATTCTGGTTTTATTTTACAAGTCATGTGCCTTTTAAGTGAGTTATGTGACCATTTAAGGGTTGTCCTGTCATTTTAGCATTTTAATTCAGCTGGACAAAATTCTAGCTCTTAGATTATGTTTACATGAAGGGCTAGGATTAAATCTTTGCTACGGCATCCCTTGTGGCTCATAAAAGGATTGTTCCAAGTTGTATTCAGCAGTTTTTTTAGTATCATCAATATAGTCAGCCTGCCAAAGCATCTTTTTACATCTCCCTCTGTTTTGGGTTTGAGTTATGGGTGTTTAAGCTATTCGTTAGCTTAATCCAGCTCTCTGTTTTTCCATTCTTACTGATTTTATTCTCTCTTTCATAGTTGATTGCATTAGAAGTCGCTCAGACTTCCTACATCTTAAATTTAACAAAGATTAAATTACCTAACAATTATGTAAACTTGTAAAAAACCGTTTAGTATGTTTTTGACGATTTATTTTATGTAATCAGTAATTACTAACAAGGTCTGATGAATGAATACGGATGATTGATGACTTATAAATAATGTCTAATTACTTTTTTACTACTTACTCGTACTTATTAACCATTTACTAGTACTTGGTTACTACTCATAAAGACTAAAGAGACCGCTTTTAAAAAGTAAAGAACACCTTAATACTTTGCTTTCTATTTGTGTTATTAGTTAGAGAAATTAGTGCACCACTATAGATGGTACTTTGACTTTGATCTAAAACGAATATAAAGTCCTTAGGTGTCATATAACTGCTTAGAGATATTAGAAATGTTGTAATGGAACCAACCCAGTCAACCCATGTATATTCAAGATTAAGAAATTTCGCAGCATATCCTTGAATGGATACCACAGATACCATTTCACTTTGGGAAGCCAATACCACTATCTAGAAACATAATTAAAAGATGCCAATTTTTTGCCGCAAAATGATCATCCCCGAAAACGGTGGCTTCTTCATATGCAATACCAACTGTTGAGAAATAATGTACTAAAAAACGATCAATCTTGCCTTCATAAATTAAGGTCTAAGATACCAAATACAACTCAAGCAGACTCAAAGCCCACACCCACAACTTTGAACAGTGTATTCATTAAATGGCCATAGGTAATATAAACCTTTTTTAATCACGTAGACATGTCAATGGATTGGAAATTGATCCAAATACGTTACAAATCCGATCCGATAACTTGGATATGGATTGAACATTTAATCCGATAATCCGTTAGCTAAACAAACCGCATATGAATTATGATCAATCCGATTTGATCCAATAATAACCCAATCTGACATAATATAGTACATAATATGCCATAAATATATTATATAATTCTATAATTATACTATTTGCATGGTATCAAAATGTTCTTTAGTATTAGTTTTTCTCTCTCTATTCTTTCTTACTCTATTTTTTTTCCTTTAACAAAGAGTCAAGTGCCCGATTCCCCCCCGCCCCCCCTCTTTCTCTTTTGACATGAAATTTTTAAACGAAAAAATTATACCCTTAATGGATCAGGTTCAGTGTTGTTAAAGGCGCGCCTCAAGTTTAGCGCCTGTTGTCATCCCAGGCTCACTGATGTTTACTAGGCGCATGTCTCGGTTGCGCCTCGTCCTATTTGTGAGGTGCGCCTAGGCACGCCTCACTGATATTTGTTTAAAAAAAATACGATTGTTCTATTTCTCAAGCCAAAAAGGGTACTTTTGGCAACTTAATAAACAAAAAAGAAAGCTCAATCATACGATTTAAGGAACTTTTGTTCAAAAGAATAAAAAAATAAAAAAGCCCAAGAGTAAAGTGTTAACTGAACAACGATAGAATGAGATTGTGAGACGAAGACGAAGCCCTAATTGCAGAGATGAACGACGAAACCCTAATTGTAGAGATGAACGACGAAGCCACATCAGTTCTTTCTTTTCTTTTTTTTCTTTCTTCTCCTCTAGATCTCTCCTCTCTTATTATCTTTGTTTACATCTCTCTTTTCGTCTAGTTCTCTCATCTCTCTGTCCTTTTTTTTTTTTCGCTCATTTTTTTTTTTTTTTTTTTTTTTTTTTGTTAACAATTTTTTTTTTTTTTGGTTAACATATTTATTTCTTTTTGTGCTTTGTTTTGCCATTCAAAAAACACATTTTGCTTTGCCTTTCAAGAAAACAAATTTGTGCTCTGTTTTATGGTTGTTGGATGCTTGTATAGTTGATGGATTTACTTTTTTATATTTGATATTAATTTTTAGAATATTGATATGACTTATGAGATATGAATGTTATTATGGTAGTTCAGATTTTCAATTGTGCGCCTCACTTCACTCAGGCGCCTCGCACCTAGGCTCCAAAGGACCTCTAGTGCCTTGGGCCTTTAATAACTATGATCGGGTTATCAGATCAGATACCCAATTAGTAACAAAAAAGTTATGGATTCAATAAGAATTAATCAGTCAGGATATCGGATCAGATCATTATACCCTTATCGAATTTGGATCGAATCAAGCCTGATCTGGTTCGAATCTGATCTGCTTACAGGTTTACATAGACCTAGCGTGGTTTTTAACTGAGGCTCCTTCTAAGAGCAGAATGATGAAAATAGTAATAAGAAGTTAATGGAGTCAAGTCAAGTCGCATAGTCGCCAGTTTGTATAGAACTCAGAGTATGAAAACTCAAGAATCATGGGAATTCTCCAAAATAATAAAAAAGTAATTTGACAGACTAGTTCTAGAAGCCAATGCATACCTGCAGCCGCTCATAAGCTTTCTGCACAGCAAGAAATTTATCCCTCCCTTCAGGATTTTTGTCTGGATGATATTTCATGGCGAGCTTTCTATATTGTCTCTTAAGCTTTTCTTCATCAATGTTCTCAATCTGTTTGGAGATATTAGGAATCTCCTCAGCCATTTCTAAAGAATGCTTTTTATCAGCATCATCTCTAGAGACATCTTCCAAGGATATTTCTAGTATTTTGCAAGCTTCTTCTTCTGAAAGATCCATGGGTCTCCGTGTCAACTCTTCACGCCACATTACCAGCAATGACTGCAGGAACTCAACATGTTCAACTATAGGCCAATTTGGAAACCGAATCTCATCACATAAGTTCCGAAGGTAATAACGGTGACACCACATTTCATCTCTTAACTCGGGATATGTTACAGGCGGCATAGGGGCATAATCATATAAAGAATGGCAATGCTGGCATAATTTCTGGGGAAAATCACCCAGATGCTGTAAAACCTGAAGAAAGGAAAGGAATTCAACCTCATAAACAGTTAAAACATATTTCTGTATAAAAGTAATCCAAAGGATTGGGGGAGACGATGCTTGTCTATGAGCAGCCAACCATTGCACAGTAACATTGAACATGTTCAAAAGCTTTCTGAAGTAATACAAATTGACTGAGCAAGTCGTGCACCTGATTTGAAGGTTTAAATTACCTGACGAATAAGATTCTCTGCTCGCATTTTGTGTGTCCATATAATCTCCGGAGTGTCAGAATCAGATACCATTGCTGCTGCAAATGCAGCCGGACCACTACGCTCCAATACATATAGCAAAGACTCAGGGAGAAGCCCACCCAACACACTGCGTTTTGCCAAGGGCAATGAAGAGGAAACTGCAGCTTCTTCACCACCATGAAAGGCTTGATGGACATGAGTCACAGAGAAGAGTTGGGCAATTGAAAAGAGATTGGATCCAGGGTATGCCAAGGCAAAATAAAATGCACCAGTGCTGTATAGTCTTATCATTGCCTTGGGATTTCTGGTGACCACCGCCTTTAGCAAAGCTGCAACACCCTCTACAATAGTTGGCTCCCCCGTCAGCATGGCCTAAATTTAAAAACGAGAGAGAGAGAGAGAGAAATGTTATTATCCAAAAGTCCAATTTTATTACTTAAAGAAAGAAGCAAGGGCAATATAATTTTAATGTGAACACGTATAGGTTAAATATGTTAGATTCAACGGATTGGTTTTAAGGCTTCATTTTTAAAACGCTTTCCATTAACGTACATAAATTTTAGACATTTCCATGCAAATGAAATTAGAACTTAACATCAAAACAACTTTACAAGATATTCCCCTTCAAATGATATTTCAAGGCACAATATATACTATATCTTATTTCAATAGCAAAGCAACACATATTACTTCACCTATTTTTTGGCAAACTTATACACTCACAATTCAACCTTGGAGAAAGAGATAAAGAAAATGAAAACAAAAAAGAAAAAGAATAGCATATTAAATTCTGAGTAGCACCTTCACATAGAATTAGACATATAAATTAGAAACTAAATTGTGCTCCACAGAAGCTACATTATTTTTTAATTGCTGGTTCCCTCTATATAGGAAACATGAAAGACGTAGACATTCTATGTTGTCTCAACACCATATCAGCCTTACTACTCATCGACAACAAATATACCAAATAATATACAGGTCAACAAAACTTAACTTATCATAGAATATCTGCTGCAGGATACTTTCACTTTTTCTCTCTTCTTTCCCTTTTATTTTTTTTTTTTATTTTTTTTTATTTTTTTTATCAAGTTAGCTTTTTTAGTTATAGATACCAAAGTAGCTGTGAGCATGTGATGCTAAGCCAGAACTCCACCGGGACATTATACATTGTAAAGAGAGAGACTGATAGAATACATGAATCTAAATTGAACAAGATATGGGTAGAAAGAAGGGAGTATAAAACCCGGTTTGAACGCCTGATTTCAATGTATCGATTATCCAAAAGTGAAAATGGAAAAGGGCATTTATCACAGAACTATAGTGGGTAGAAAGAAGTGGAGAAGAATTTCTAGAATGTGGTATGGTGCCAAATACCTATCAAAGTAGAGGGAAAGAAAGCTCAATAAATATGGCTACTACACCATTAATACTCTCCATTATGGTCAGACATGGCACATGCATCTCAATCAAGAAAGGACATATTACACGGACAATTGAGATCGTGACCATGATCATAATCATGAACTATTAATGATACTTAATTATTGTTGATAAAATAGTATTTGCTGGATATAACCCGGGCCTAATTCTAGATTAAGGGACCTGTTATGATAAACTGCTAATTATAACCTGCAAATCCTACCACCCATTATCAGTTCCTGTTACAAAAAATACACTACCAGAAAAGTTTAATGAAAAAAAATTTTTTTAAAAAAATACAGAAATCACCTGCGCAATGTATGGAAGGCAGCGCGGACTTGACGATATCCGTTTTACTCTAGGCGTTGGGGTAACTAACTCTCCAGCATCATCTAAATCTGAATGTGCAGATACCATGTTGTGCAATATGGACAATGCAGCCTCCCCTACCTCTGGATGCAGAATCCACCTCTTAGAACATATATATCATAAACAGCTGAAGGGTGGCAAAAGTTACAAATGTGTAATCTCACACATAAAGTAGAACAAAGTACAAGAAGAGCAAGTATATTAGCTATAAGCTTCAATTGCAGATGCAGAAGTGAATTTGCATCAAATAGATCTTCGTGTGAAAGTATTAGATAACATACATAAAAGTTATACATTTAGCTAAAAGTACTCATGTACATGTGAATTTGCGTCAGGGAGACCCTAAAAATCTCCCGAGGGAATATCACAAAGATACAGGAATGAAGAGCTACTCCAAACACCATTTTAAAGTTGGTGCCATCAAATTGGATCCAAATCAATTGTTTAAATATTCAATGAATGATTTTTCAAGCTCAATTAACCCATTTTCAAAATATCAAGTGGATGAAAAAGAATGTCTTTCATTTGATTATAGACAACAATCCCATTCAGATAGGACTATGGAATTCGAACTTGAACTCTATTTCTGATTCATTATTGCTATCTCATCGGCCCTTCTTATATCGATTCACGCTGGGCCTATTCTTTTCTATCCACATATCATTAAATGATAAAACCCAACTGCTCTTTACAGTCAGAATACTGATACACACGCCCATGCACATGACACACAAGAAACCCAAAAAGTATATCAATGGAAAACATAGATTTTCCAACTTTGTAAAAGACAATCTCATACACAATTTCAAATTCTACAAGGAATAAAGCCACTGAACACTAATAACTGTAAAACTTGCAAATTGTTATACAAAATGGATAATGAATAGAACAAAACCACCATGTGTACAAACATTGAGTAAAATAAAACCTGCAAATGTGGTCCAGTATCATATTTAGGGGTGGAAAAATTCAACGTGAGCCTCAAACACAACATGAAGTTGGCAGATTTGGGTTGACCTTAGTCATGTTCATGTTTTGGTGTATAACCCGATTAGACCAATTTAATTAATTGTACCATAATCGTGTCATTTTAACCAGATTAACCCACACGTTTTAAACTAATTACTATGGACATTTTTGTTATTTCAATATAAACCCAACATGGAAATCATGTTGTCCTTTTTTTGGTAATTGCATTGACCTAATTGTCCTCATTTTCAAGAATTTAATCGTCCAATATATTTGAATTTATACCTAAAAACATCTTAATAAATGGGTTGCATGACCCATTTAATTTAAACACGTTAAATTGGTTATTGAACTAGTCATGCTGTGAGTTACACGACCCATTTTTTAAACAAGTTATAAGGCTCGTTTCATGTTACCTGTTTAATAAATAGGTCGTGTTCGTGTCGGTTCCTGACACGATTATTAAACAGATCATGTTCTGGTTAACCTATATAACAGAATACTAGTCGGTCGATACAGCACGAATATGACCTGCCAACAACAATTATCACCTCTAAATTCATATCAATTCACTAGGTGGATCTGTGAAAGTAAATTTGAATATAATTACTTTCAATATAATCAACCGCAAGTGCAATTCAGTATCAATTATATAATTATAACATACTCCACGTGTTATATACAATACCTGGATTGGAGTAAGAACAGGAACTCGAACAGCCAGAGCCCAACGAAGTTCACGGATATCTCGTAATCTCTTCCAATCCGACATCCCAGAAGCCCAGCACCTTGTTGTCCAATCAATAGCTTTCTTCGACCAAAACCTTCTGATGGCATCCTTTTCCACAGGTCCAACTTCTGCACCATCCTTGTCAAGAAACATCCATTCCTTAAGGGGTTCCATGAAAGCAGAGGCAGCTATCATATTAGATTGCAAAGGAATAGCAGTTCTTTCTGAAGCTTCATGAACTGCTGTTAGCAGATCAACTGCTAGGACACACCCACCAACCAAGACACAAGCCTCTACATTTGATAGCACCTTCATTAAAACCTGTACATACAGTAATCATGCAACAATTATGTTGATTATTGAGATCAGAAATACAAAAGAAGTCTCGAGTAGAGCATAGTGCTCAACTATCATCCAGCCCATTCAGGAAGGAAATATCACCAAATATAAAATTGATTAAGATAGCCTCCTTTCTCTAACACCTAAAACTTTCACCAACCTGGTTTCATGCAACAGTTTTACTTGGCCCAACCACACTTCTTCCTATCTACAGACGTTTCGGTCACAAGAAGGAAAGAAGGCACTAAATTTGCCAGGTTGTTAGATACTAAGAGAGAGAATTTGTGCATGCCCCTTAACCAATCAGTAACCCTAAGAGAGAAAATTTCACTGCTATGCTACTAGAGATCTAAGATCTCATAGGTGATCGCATAAGCTCATCATTTTCTCTCTGCAAGATGAGGGAAAACCTATAATAACTATAACCAAGATCAGTATAAAATAAGGAGGACGAACTGAGTAGCAAGGAAACCCATCCTTAACAGTGGGGACAAAGGGAAGAAAAAGCGTGTCAAGGGAACGCAATTTTGACATACCTTTAGTAGAAGAAGTAGCCGGTGCCTCAAAGCTCTATCATCAGTCCTATCCAAAAGAACTGTAATATGAGCAGTGCCTTCAAATGGACCAATTGTGTTAAAATGTTGCTCATATACAATTGCCATCGCCCTTGCACAAAGTTCTCTAACTGAGGAGCCTCCCCCTCCTCCAAAACCATCTAACCTTCCCATATCACACCAATCATCAGATGCACCCATTTCATCAGGAACAGCGCCATCTACAGTTAGTCCTGTATCTGCATCACATAGGAACCGATGATAAAGGGCTCTATAGAAAGCAACTGGGTCACGCAGAGGAAAATCCTGCGCCCTGCCACTGCTGCCACTCTCAAGAAGCAAACGCAGATAATATTGACCCACACAAACTTCCTTGGACAGGCTACGATAGCTAACTGAAAACTCAGTATAATTCCATGATATCTGGGGCACACTATCTTGCCCAGTCATAATATCCAAAGTAGCACCTCCAGGAACAATATCCTCAGTACGTTCCTTTTCAACATCTAGTTTGTGAATCTCTCCCTGCAAAGCCTCTCTCAACTCCTGTCTGGTACGCTCATTCCAGATCAAGTCCGCACGGTTGTGATCCAGGCCAAAAGCACGCCAAAATTCAGGCCAGTTACATAACAGCCTGCCAAATCCCACAGGCATGTTCTCCACAACAACCTGAGCAGGAGCAGGAAGACCTGTATTCTGGAAAGCAACCACATTGGCATCCGAATTAACTGAATTTGGAGCATTTGATTCAACTGACTCCGGTGTATATGGAGCATCAGATGAAACGACAACTGCAGAAGTGACAACTGATTGATCAGTTTGTGGAACAACTGCCGATGACAAGTCACTCCGTAAGTTTTCACCCGTGTAAACCACAGTAGAATTCATGGCCAGAACTTGTCCCGAACTTGCATCTACCACAGATTTTTTACTACTATCGGACCCTCTAAAAGCAGCAGCAGTTGTCTGCCTTCCTGGATCACCAACTTCACTATTATTAACAGAAGGCAAAGAATGCCCCTGAGACGTTATTCCTTTTCCTGTACGAGCCCTCCTCTGCTGAAGTAAGCGTCTCTGTCTCCTACTCATCAAAGATCCATCCTGATTAGATATATTTTGTGCGTCTTCTTGTTGAATTCCATCAGAACGAGTGTGCAAATAAGCAACAAGCCCTGGAGGCAAAACTCTAGATAACAAATGAAGAGCAGGTTGATAAGAATCAGCCCAAAGAGCCACAAGCTGTCGGCTAACTTCGCGTCGTTCACCAGCAGGAAGGAAAAAAGCATGCAACAAATGCCTCAACAAAGCACCATCACGCAAAGCAGCATCACGCATGGACTCTGCTGCAATAGCATCTTCTTCTGCAATTGTACGCATGATGACAGCAACTGTCTCTCTTACACTTTCAGCAGGATGTCCAAACAACGCAAACAAACGACGCCGCAAGCCAGCAACTTGGCGTAATAATTCAACGAAAACAGTTGATTGAGTAGTTTCACCATGTGGTTCACAGATCATTGCCTCGAGAACTTCCACAACAGACATTGATAATAATGGTGAAACAGATAAAGGTTTTAATCTGTTAACAAGAATAATAACGTTACTGTTGTTAGCAAACAACACAGACTTAGTGTGCATAAAAGTCGCATGCCTCTCTCCTTTTGTATCTGTCAGTATATTATCTCCAGGACCACCACCAATAAGTACTGCAATAAGACCCGCAGCTTCAGCTGCAACTCCCTCAGAACCATTTCTAAGTAAACCCATTATTCTTCCAACAGCGGCAGGAAAAGACATCACATGTGAGGCAGCACTTCTTGAAGCCAGTAATCTGCGTAAACATGCAATGAAACCCATCACAGTTGCAGCTGCTTTAGGTGAAGGGGGCGGCAAGGGAGGGGACTCGGGAGGAAGATTTGGAGCAGCTGGGAGCATTGTAATCAAGGCCATCAAAGTCACTTCAGGTACTTCAATGGTAGGAGGGACACCAACATAAGGAATACATGCATTGAACTCCCTTATTCTACGCCATAGTTTTGCCCTTGATCCAGGAACGGACCCTCCTTCAGCCACAGCATCTTTGGCGGCCGCTGCCAAGTGTTTCAAATGCATGGTTGCACTTTCCATATCAGCAACAGGATGCCGTTGTCCAACAGGAAATTGCTGAATTTGTAAATGGACTCTCCCACAAGGAGGATCAATTCGATGACCAGGCATTGTCAGCCTTGGAAGTACAGGTACTGCACATTGACCCTGCACAAATTAAAATCCAGATTTAACCACATTTTATGAACACTGATAGCTGATCTGTCCACCACTAAAAGAACTCAAAGGTGCAACAAATGATAATTGCAATGAAACTATAGATTATACAATCAATGTTCAATCCAGTCATTAAAAATGAAAAAATAATTAATATCCAAGAAAGGGCAGATCTACCTACTTCTGTTTGCAATATATCCCGAACTAATGCAAGCAAGCTATCACGAGACGTGCTAGCATAAACCTGAAATCCAAATGATACAGATTCAACAACTTATTACCACAAAAAATTAGAAATTCAAAATTAGTAACATATCCTCACATGAATAGGGCATCCATCATTAAATTCAATCGCAAACATCTGGGGCTCCTCAGCAAATCGAACGAGAGCGCTTACTGCAGATAAAGGACGGGCAATAACAGCCTGAAATCATCAAAATATATATACATATATATTAGCCCTTGATATAAGTCAGGCATACCAATACTGCATAATAAACATATTCCCAAAAAAACCATACTGTAGGACGATATAACCGTAAGACACCATTTTTTTATTATGCACCCCTGTATTAGAATAACTCAACTAATACAGGGGTGCATAATTTTCCCTGGGACATGTTCTCTTTTACAAAATATTCCAGTTTAACAAACCAAAGCAATGTGCAAATGTACAAGCCCACATGAACATCCTCTGCATTTAATTTAATTATATATTGGCTATTTTCTGAACATAAAATATTCAGGAATAATGGAACCATCCCAGAATCAGCATCCGCATGCACACTCACGCCCTTGTATCACCAAATGCGTGCAAGAAATAATGTAGCAAGATAGCATCTTTAAAAAAAAGCTCACCAACTTAAAAAATATAACGATACAGACATGAGACAAGGATTGTGTACAAAGAAGGGGAAGACAGAAGGTGAATAGATAAAATCATCCTTTAATTAATTCTTTCCTTCTTTCTTTCTCTCTCTCTCTGTGTCTCTCTCTCTCTCTCTTCTTCTTCTTCTTTTCTTTTATCTTCTTTTCTTTTTTTTCTTTTTTTTGACACTATAGCACAACCCAAAGACAAAGTGTAGATTTCATTTTTAAGCCGTAATGTAAAATTATGGTATAAATTATCATCTCCGAATAAACTCCGTCAAAATCCAACAAAATGTAAGATAAGATCAAACATCTTATTATAATTTTATACCCATTAAAGTTCCAGAATTAGGTGAACTTCTGTTTTTCTGAAACATGTTTCTTGGACATAATTTTTTTTTGACGTGAATAAAAACTGAACCCCTAACCCACCATCTTCCTTTAGATGCCATTCTAGCACTTGAATTACTGTGCTACAATTACTTTGGGTTGGAGTAGCTAAATATATTTACATTAAAAAAAATCATGTCCTAAGGCACAAAGGTAAATTCAATTTATGTCACACTTACGAATCTTAACAACAGCATGCAGAAAGTACATTAGCAAAACATGCTAGCAGGACATACTGGACTTTCTTGTCATGCTATTATACTTAAAAACAGATGCACACAAAACATGCTAGCAGGACTACGTTAGCAAAAACAGAGACTAAACAGACAGATAGACACACGCAAACACACACACACACACAGAGGTGGATAGAATTAATCTTAAAGCAATTATAAAAGAAAATTTGAGATGTAGCAAATATATAATACTAAAAAATAAAAGTGCAGTCACAGTGGAGAAAGAGTCAGGATAATTTGAACATATCATTTTAAAAGCAAAGACCGAGAGGACACCACAATGGAACTTGGTTTACTATAATTATACATGTTTATTTACTTATATGAATGTACGTGTGGCATATATGATAATATTATGGCTAGTGAGCCAAATATATTCATATAAAGTTGGACAATCCCTAAAGGCCTTCAAAAAATAAGGTAATCTTTAGGCATGCTCCCTTATAAAAAGAAAACTGATTCTTGAACCCCTATGAACTCCATTCCTGCATTTGAGAGGCTCCTTTTTTTGGGTTTTTAAACTCCTTTCTAATGAAGTTTGTTCATTAACTACTGAGACCATCTGCTTACTTCATAGTTCTCTGGTCGCCTTTCGACTAGTGAAACCTTTGTAAGAATTAGTTGACGAGACACAGCATCACCTTGTTCCCCAAGTCCCCCTTTTGGCCCAACTCCTAGAGTTAACCCTGGAACACTTTGAGTTCCATGGGCAGCAGATCGCAATCTTGTCACAGACCAACCCCCACAAGGAGTTTCTTCTGCTCCAACGGCCTCTTTGGCTGCAATATACATTTGTTAACTTAAATTAATTAATTGAAAAGAATCATTACTTGCAAGCTTGGAAACAACATATACAGTAAAAATGAAGAAGAATGGTTAAGAAGTGTACAAAAAAATGTATGTTAAGAGGTACCTCTTATCTTTATGTACTCTGAAACACAGAGTGATTGAGAACTATCCACAGATAGTGACAACCCAACCATGGACTTTGCAGTCTTCGTCTGTAACAATATTTACAGTAATATCAAATTAATGCAGAAAATTTTAGAAAGCAGCAACGTGATTAAACAAGTAAAGGATCCTGCAAGTTGTGTGGGGTGGGGACACTTATAAATTAAAGGCAAAACAATATGTAGGAAATTTGGGCGAGAAAACTACATTGCAAATATGAACTGAAGGGTCAAATACAACCGCCATACCAGATTTGATATTATAGCAGTGTTTGAAGCCCCTGAAGCAGCCTGGAAAGCTTTAGATTTTCTTCCATATAAAGGACAAAGAACAAAACCTCCATGCCCAACATTTTTCTTTCCAAAAGCATCAGAGAGAAGAATAATGGCTGGAGAATTCATGTCTCTAAAATCCAAGCACCACCGAAGGTCTCCAGATTTTAATTCAGTAAGTTCAACTCCAGCATAAGTAACTTTCAACTTCTGTACAAGCCATTTGATCACAGTTACTAATATAAACAATGTAATAGCTTAAACAAGAATGCACAATTTCATGTCAACAAGTCATTAATTGAAATGAGAAACAAACACTGATGTAGATGATTGGGAAAACTGGCATTCTACTTATTTCAATTAGATTGGCAAGTACTTTGAAGTTTGACACAATAATTCAGCATCAATTTGCGTCACAAGCTATACAAAAAATTGAGTAGGTCACTCTAATTTAAGTCAATAATATCCAAATGCATCTAACTGTAACCAAGTTATGTACTGCTTTTCCATCTGCTTCCACGGTTTTCTTGGACTCAGTTTGGTTAGAAAAAGTAATATTGGAAAGTGAAAGTAAAAAAAAAGTGAAGTGCAAGAAAGGAAAATAAAATTTCTTGAACGCATTTGGTTAGGTAAACACTTTCCTAAGTTTTTGCGGGAAACTTTTGACAAATTAAGCAATACTGGAATCTTACGTTACCAAATGTTCTTAATTTCTTGCTTTCCAAACTCTTAACAAGTTGAAATTTTTTCCATTTCCTTCACTTTCCATCTAGCCAAAGCAAGCCTTAGTCAATGTAAATATCTTCATCAACCTCTCCCAAGTCCTAATAAAGGAGAAACCATTGGAATAGTACGATCTTTAGTGACTTTTGTTGACGTTCTTTCACCAATAAATGCAGGAAATGGTGAACATCGATGGGAACATTGGAAAGTCATATTTAGTACGTACTCCAACCACTGAACAAAGCTTGATTTTGCTTCACACATCACACCACGATAAGGATATGAGAATATGTACACTCATATCTGATGCCATCTCATCAAATTTTATAAGCTTATGACTTCTCCACTTAATACATTGCCAAGGCTTGGACAGCCATCTATAATGATATCTACATGTACATACCAAACATTTTTAAAGCACTATTAAATTCTTGCGAACAATACAAAATCTACCTAATTCTGGCAATGGATTCTTTAGAATTAAACCGTAATAAAAAATCAAGAATTCAAGTTCTTATGGAACAGAGTATATTCCTCCAACTCACTTCTCTTTCATAGTAATGTGGCATTTCATCTAGTGAAGTCATTTCCCTTATTTATTTACCTATTTTGTGTGTGTAACAAGTATTTTAGGGGATAGGGTCTGGGAAGTTGTGAGTAAGATGGTATAAGAACCTCTTTCTTTGCTGATTGTCTCAACTCCTAACAGACTTCAAGGGTTCAGATGGGATGTCTAACTGTCAAATTTTGAATTCTCAGAAAAGTTTATTTCAAATGTTCATAGAATTTCAGTACATTATGTCCCTTGTGAAGATAATCTAACCTCTAAAAATCTTGGGCATACAGATAGATTATGGCCTAATTTAACTAAAATCTGTCCTTTCAAAATTTCTCCATTGCTTCAGAAATTTTTTAATGTTTACTATCTACCATTTAGTTCAAAATGACATGTACTGCCGCCTTTTGAACAAATACAAATGCTTCCGTCAAAACTTATTTTACTCGAATAATCTAACTTCGTCCTTTGGACTTAATTAAAACCCAAAACAAGTACTAATCATAATGTTAACTTTTGTTACTAAAAGATGGATGAACCATTTCTTAGGACAAACTACACCCTATTTCAAAAATCAGAAAGAAATTCTCTTCATTGCTTTTTTAGTTTCTAGTTACTCAAATTTTCAGTAACTCTAGATAAGTTATACTGTTATGTGTAAAGTAATGGAACAATTACTTCTAGCCGGATAACTAGTTCAAAACTATTTAGCCATTGCAAAATAATGTATCAACACTAACTAACCGGTTATTGATCACAAACCACTATGAACATTCACAGTCAAAGTAGATTCAACTAAATAACATCATAGATTAAGTTCCGAAAGGGTTAACTTACCAAAGGAACCCACTCCGAAGTCTTTCTCCGAAGATGAAGTACCGGAAACTCCGCAACAGCCCCAATTCTGTTCCACCTTATTCTATGCAGCTCAGTCAGAATACTCGCCCTGAACTTTGAGGAAAACTTAATAGCTTTAAACTTCCCGCGTCCATCAGTCCGTACACTGATATTGAACTCCTGGGAATTCTCATCCCTCCCAATAACGGGTGTCGCTCCATCATAATCACTTGCCACGTCATACGAATTTGTCACGGACAGTGTCGCAGGGTCCAGAGTGATGATCGTGAAATTGGATATACACAGAATTCTCTTGTACCGCCCACGCCACGAGTGTTTCACCGCTATGTAGCGGGCCAAGTACTCCTGTTCTTCGAGTGCGTGAGGAGGTGGAGCAGAAGATGATTGGGTTGAGGATTCCGGCGGAGGCTGGTGGTGGTCGGGAGCGGAGGTGGAGGTGGCAGTGTGTCGACTCACAAAATCCATTTGAGGGAGGTATTGAAGGGAGTAGGGTGGAGGCGGACTAGGGCGCAGAAAGAACCATAGTCCCGAACCGGCCGCCCCCGACGGGCTCTGCCGAGACTGATTTGCACCCAGTGCTCCCGATTATCGCGAATTGGGTCGTAACTTCGCCTCCAAATGATACACTGGATTGATCGAATCAAACCCTAACTTTAAAAACCCAATCTTTCATCGGCGATTGATCAATTGAAAACAGAATGTCAAGCGAATTCAAAAGAACTGAGCACAAAACCACAATATCCGCCAGAATGAACAGTGTAAGAATCAGTGTTAACCTTAAGAAACAAAAATTCGAATGTATTTTGCATATACGTATGATTGAGTGTATATATTATATATGTACACGTATACTGTTTATTTAATTGAGGTGCTGATGGATCACACTTCACGCAAAGGACTGGATCTAATCAAATATAATGAGTTCGATTTAGGATCGATTAGAAGTTCTTGGAGAGAAGAAAATACAGAAAGTATCGCGTGAGAAGGGAAAGATGACATGGAGAGCACTTGCCAGCCGGGTCGCTTTCTTTCGCGATGCCACCAACTTGTAAACCACTCTTTTGGCCCAAAAACCACCTCTTGGTTTTTGGACTTGGATTAAATATTCTCTAATTTATCGTTGAATTGCTTAGGTTCTGTTTCGTTGGATGGAAACATTTAGAAAAGAAAGATAAAACTTTTAAACTTTTAAATTTTTTTAGAATTTGGATGGATAAAAAAAGAAATCATATAGGGCCGTTTGGTTTGACAGAAATTTATGATGGAAAGTGAAAGTGAAAGTGAAGTCAAAGAAAGAAAAATCAAGTTTCCTGCGTGCATTTGGTTAGCAAGAAAAAATTTCAAGAAAGTTAAGAAAAATATTATTTTATTAGTTTGGATAGCATGAAAGGGAAAAGAAAATAATTTACTTATCAAAACTACCCTCATGATTTAAAATATTAAAAAATAAATTAAAGAAAAAATTTCAAAAAAGTTAAGAAAAATATTATTTTATTAGTTTGATAGCAACAAAGGGAAAAAAAAAATAATTTACTTACCAAAACTACCCTCATGATTTAAATTATTAAAAAATAATCATCTTTATACCCAATTATTTATATTAATTTTTAGCAATTAAATAATAAAATAATGGATTAATAATTATTATTATTATTATTTATATTCATATTTAAATTAGACAAAGTAAGGAGGACTACATTTTAGTTGTCAAATTCTTTTTATTTTTTGTTTTCAATAATAATTATTTATATTTATATGCAAAATATAATTCACTTATCATAACATACTCATGTTTTATCATAAAATAATGGATTATTAATTATTATTATTATTATTATTTATATTCATATTTAAATTAGAAAAACTAAGGAGGATTGCATTTTAGTTGCCAAATTTTTTTATTTTGTGTTTTCAATAATAATTATTTATATTTATATGTAGAATATAGTTCATTTATGATAACATACTCATATTTTATTAAATTATTAAATATATCTTTTTTTAAGCCCCCTCCAAGAAACATTAAATGGCAACTCTAGTATAAAAATTATCATGCAAAGGTAACATATTAATTTTATAATTCATGCATAATAATTTTATGGTTCTTCCATAATTTATCAGTCCCCTTTCATATTTTTTATGAATTTGAACCACTTCGATGCAAATTTTTCTGTACAAAAATCACACAGTATAAAAAGTTATTAAGTTCAAAGTTGTATAGATAGTAAAAAATAAATATTATATTGATTTCCATCCATGTAAAATTGTTATGTTATATAAATAATATGATGACTCAAATTAATCTCTTCTCATATATCTATTGAGATTTTGATAAAAATTAAAAGTTATATTATTTAATATTCTACCCTTCAACTCAAATTATGTGTCCCAATATATAATAATTGTTGGAATATTTTCTAAGTCTGAAATTAATAACCACTATATTTGTTATGTGAAAAAAAAAATGGAGAAACAACTAGGCATAATAGGAATTTTGGAAATAAAGTGACAATTTTGTGCGAGAAAGTTAACTTTCTTGTGTTTTATGCGAAGAAATATTTTGGGAAAATTTATTGATACGGGAATCTCACTTTCCCAAAAATTTTCTCTTTCCAGGTAACCAAACTCCAAAAAATTAAATTTCTTTTCTGTTTCTTTTCCTTTCTACCTACTTCACGCTAACCAAACGAACCCATAGAAAATTCAGTTTCCCGGCATTGAGTATTTTCCCTCAAAAATATTCCCACAAAAAACACGCGGAAAATGCTTATTTATTTGCCATTCCTATTTTACCCAATAACTTATCTCAAAAACAACTTCTATTCTGAAGTAAATTTTCTCAAAAATAATTTATATTCTGAGGTAAGTTCCTAATGCAAATTATCAATATTTATACTATTATTAAATGTGTAAAGATTTTTAGTGGTTCAGTATTTCAATATTTATTTATTTATTAATATAAAAATAGATTTTATAAAAAGAGTTTCTATAAAATTCTAAAAAAAAAATTATGGATAATTATCAAAAAATAACCGGCTCGACCCAACTATGATTATGTCATTATCAAGAGAGGACACGTGTCATCGTCCTATTAATCCAAGAAGCGCATAAATAAAGGCATGGAAGAAGGAGGAAGGGGTGCATAAATTGAGAATTCTGAAATCCATAATTATAGAGTAAAATACAAAAGCTCTACCAAAGAGTTTAAGTATTAATTGATATAAAAAATAATTTTTAATTGATAAAGAGTTTTTATCTGTATCTATATAATTATTAAATGTGCAATGAGTTTCAGTATTTATTTATTTATATTAATTAATAAAGAGTTTTTATCAATATCTATACTATTATTAAATGTGTAAATAATTTTAATGTTTCAGTATTTATTTATTTATATAAAAAAAATATTTATTAATTGATATGAAAAGAGTTTTTATTAAAAAAAATATATATACTTTATAGAACTCTAAAATCTACCTAATAAAATTCTATTTATCTATTTGTTATTATGAATTTTTTTAAAAAAAGAACATATAACTAGACAAGAATTATTAATAAAACTCTAAGACAAAATACCTATTTATCTATTTATTATGAGTTTTTTTATAAAAGAAAATATTGTTGACCTTAAGGATTCCATCTAAGGATAATCTAGAAGTTTTGATGATAACAAACCATTAATGATGTTTAAGGACTAATGTTTACATTGAGTGTTATATAGATTATTCACATTCAAAAGATAACCTCAATGAAGAGCGCGAAAGATCATTCCAAATATTCCATTACTCAATATCACATCTGTGGATAACAAAGGAGACAAAGAAGACATGAAGTTGCAAGGAACCAAATGTAAAGTCCATCCAAAGACAACTTGGACATCAATGATCAAGAAAGCAACTTAAATAAAAGGAAGAAAGCAAGAATACTTCAAAGCCTAAAAGATCATGAACAGAGCTTGAAGAAAGGGGTGGATAGCTTGGTGAGTGCAACTTAAATTGTAAAGTTATTTTTGAAGTAACTTTATTTGAAAGCTCATCTCTATAGGACCATGCATATCATATCATTATTCATATGCTCCTATATCCATTAGCAATAGACTATGCACTTCATTCATATATAATTGCACATGGAGTCTTTGCTAACGAGTGAGTTAGTTCAAGCTTGCATAAGCTTTGAAATAACTCATCACTTGTGCTAGAAATGCTAAGACCATGCACTTTATTATATAATTCATATTGGTCAACAATTAAGGCATGAGAAGCCTTCATTACCATGAATTGGTAACGGACATTAGAACCCCAGAATGCGCGTCATGAAAAACTGTGTTGTTGGCTAAGTGTGAAAAATGGATTTTTGAAATAATGATTATTTCAAAATAATTTTTTCCGGTAATAACTCTTTATACTTCAATTAGCCTAACCTAATTTTATCAGAATTTTTGACCAAGTCTACATTGGTTTACACAAGAATTCATTTTTACCAAAACAGTCAGAAATCCAAATTTGTACTAAAACTGAATTTCTACATTTTGATTTAGTTGGATTTCAATTTTCTACTATTTTTTATTGAATTCAAATGGGGGGTACTTCCTTATTTACATTGTAAACTTATTTACATTGAAAATAAGGTATGTGCAGATGTCCTGTAGAGCACTGTCTAATATGTTAACTTAGAACATTTTCTGAAGCATTAGTTCTATTTTGGTCTACCGAAATACAAGACCAACTCACTTCGGTCTACTGAAATAGAGATATTGAGGATGATTCATCAGTTCCATTTCGGTCTACCGAAATAGAGCACCAAATCACTTCGGTCTACCGAAACAAAGATGCTGAGAATGGTGAAACCATTTCGATCGACCGAAACAGGAAAGGTGTTACTTCGGTCTACCGAACCAAGAGTACTGAGAATGATAAACCAAGCTTAAAACCATTTCGGACGACCGAAACACAAGGGTGTTTCATTTCGGTCGACCGAACCAGCGCGAATTCAAACTCAAACGGCTATTTCACCTAGAACTGAGTGCCCAACAGCTATATTGTATATCAGATGTCTATAAATAGAGTTAGGGTTTTCTGGTTTCGAGTTGAGGCTTTTAAAATGAACTTCTACAGAGTTTTTGCTCTAGTTCCTCCCACTCTTTATGGAGCTTTTGCTCTAGTAGTCCATACAAGGAATCACCATTGAAATATATTGCATATCATTTATGTGATTCATCTTACAAACTTAGAGTTGAGCTTTCATTTGATTATTTCATTCGTAACTCTAAGTATGAGAGCTTTGATTTGTATATTTGTCTATTTGAGAGACATTCATTGTGAGCTTCATTATATATTCATTCTTGAGAGAATAAGACCAAGAGGTGCTCTTGGTAAGGGAAAGCTTGTTTAAGCTATTGTAAGGGTTCTCTTTCTCAACCCATAAAAGAAAGAAGGTGTCTCTCTAATGAGAGGATTTGGTAGAGCTCTCCACCCACAAGAGTGAGCAATGGTTCCTTTTTAGCCATCAAAAGAAGGAGAAGCAAGATGGCTTCATTACAAGGTCGATTCTTCACCCGCAAGCAAGAACATGTAAAGGTTTGCTCTCCACCAATAAGGAGGAGCCATAGTGGAATCCTTGAGAGGTTTTCTCAAGGCATGGACGTAGGCCGAGGTTGTGCCGAACCATGTACATCGCGTGTCCTTTGGTTTGCAATTTTTCTAACTCTTACTCTCTTTATTTCCTTAACATTTTCCATTTCATAATCTTAATACTTTATTTATGAATGTTATGAGATGGACATGTTAATTTGAATATATGAGGAGGATAGGATGAATGCTTGGAGTAGGTTGATTGTTTGATTGATTTTAGCTTAGAGTATATGTTCTCTATTAGCCTTTTATATAGCTAAAATTATGTTGCACACCAAGTGTTTGACAACATGCATATTCAACACATCATTCACATTTAGAGTTTATAAGCATACCAAGTGTTTGATATATTTGTTGTAAACTCTATAATAATGTGTTTCGTGACTTTTGCACCTTGAATATTACTCACATCAATATTGTGCAAATGCTA